CGACACTAAAACTTTTGGGTCATTGGGAAAAAAAACGTGTTTGTGTGACACACAACAGGTAACATGTTTTAAATATGGGAGGGGCTAACAATGCCTTATATGGTATACAACTTATACAGACAGAATATTATCAATATGATGGTATTGACCGTAGTCACATCTAATATTCTTCAAACCACTTGATTTTTTTTCACTACTGCCAGTTTTGTTCCTGAAGGGATTCAAGGAAGGACACCTTGAAAGACAACAACACCTGACCTGGGAGACGGTCCTGGAGCAGCGCAGTCCTCTGGAATAGGAAGTCCAGATTTAGTCCCACTCTCTTCTCTACTCCACTCCACTCTCTGCCGCCTCCCCGGGGCTTTAATGTGGAGAGTGGACAGTGGGGTTAATGCCTAGCTGTAAGCACTGCTTAGCACCAGTGATTGGGTTTCTGTTAAAGCAGGCCTTCCCCCCACCAGCAAAAAAAAAAAAAAAAGAATCCAGTGGAAATGACTTGTGCTGTCCAGCCTTGTGGGCATTTGTGATTTTCCAACCTTCAGTTTCCACCCCACCCCCTTTGTTACAGCACCGTGTCCCCGGGGCGCAGGTGAATTTGATGTGGAACAATGATTAAAAGTTTTCTCCCTCAAGGTGACCTGAATGATAGAGGAGGTGAAAGTCAAAGGGAGAGAGGACGAGGAGATGAGCGAGGGCAGGGAGGTGACCGTCTGCATTGGACATTTGTTATGGTCCATTCTGAAAACATTCAATTGTCCCCATCCTGTCTTCACGCCGCCGTTGTCTCCGCTCGCCGCCTTGTAGCATTCAGGGATTGTACGTGACGTGATAAGTATCAAACACCGCACCGATCTAATCGTCGCCACGTCGACGATCACCGCAGGGTGTGATGCATTTGAAGAGGCCTCTGTCTCTCTGTGCCTCCTGTCCCACAGCACACAGGTCCCACTTCTTCTCACTGTATGTTCAATCACCTGCTCCAGCCTGGCCCGCTGGTGCGGCCAAGCGCCCCCTCTTGACAGTGACGTATGCCGGCGATTAGCCTGGATACAGTTCAATTATGATAAACAGCCAGTGCACCTCTTAGGCTGTGATTAAAGCCCGGGCCGGGGCCTTGATAAAGAGATCCCATCTCTATGCCATCACCACCACATTATAAGACACTCTGCTGTGGTGTTCTGCTTCATGCTTTTCACATCAGCGTGGCAGAACCTACAGCCAAACCCGGATGGCAGACGGAACAGACTGGGACCTAAATGGAAGCTGCGGGGTGTCTTTATCATTTACACATGAGCGGCGAAGCATCGCCCACCAACCTAGTTTCAATTTGGACAACTGTTTATTAATAACCTCCACCTTCTTGAAGCCTATCTTACAGGATACCTGTCATATACCTTAAGACTGGCTGAGATACTGTGTGTGTGTGAGAGAGAGAGAGACAGGGAGAGAGAGAGAGCAGTTTTGATGAATGGATGAGCGGTGATGAAAAGAAGATATCAGAGGAGCATGAAAGGAGAGAGGGGGGACGAGCGCAGAGCATTAATCCAACACAGAGAGAAAAGAGAGGGAGAGAGGGAGGGAGGGGGGAGGAGGAGGAAGAAAAAGAAAGATAGCCTTTCGGCTGTGTTCTGTCAAGGGAGAAATTACACATTTACGGAGGTTTTTTCAAGCAACGACGGGTTTCATAGATCAAACCAGTGGATTTATGAGCCAATTTTCAACATGAAATATAGACACAGAGAATCCATTTTACCCATGTTTACTTGCCTCCTCTCACTTTTTCTCTCTCACTCTCTCTCAATGAAACAGCCTGCAGTGGGTGGATGAGGTGACTCCCTCGACGGAGCTAATTTGAGCTGATAATGATGGTGTTTTCATTGTGACGCTGCTTCCAGTTGACATTATTGTGTTTTCACTGTCACGTTAGGAAGTGATAAAATTGGACAAAGGACAAACCTTAAATAAAGATGACACGGCTGATGGTATGATGTGCACATGGCACTGCCACTCACTCCCCTGTAGGGGCTGCCATAAACAGGCTTGTATTCACTGATCAGCCAGCTCAGTAGGCTGTTGCAACATATTGTCTAATTCTTGATTTAAATATTTTTCTATAAAAACACAAAAACAAAATTCTACAACTTTGGTGACAATTGGTGGTCAACAGTTGAACAATTAATTATAATAATTATTTTTCAATATAATCATTGATAAACAGTCTATTCCCATTATTTTATAACATTCCTCTTGTATATACTGCTTTATCCAATCATGTTTCAGTCATCACGTGTTGCCAGGGTGAAATAAATCTGCCCTGAGGCCTTCCCAATTAGCAGTGCTGACACCTGTAGCCTGACGTAAATGGCAAGTAGAGTTACGTTGGCGATTTGAGTGATTTGATTGGCTAGCCAGTGAACGCAGACTGTCGAATGTCGCGAACTGCGTGTATCGAGTCGCACGTGCGAAAATTAAGTTTTTTCTCTGCGTTAACTGCTTCTGTCGAGCGGACATTCTCAGCCGTAAAGCGAATGGAAACTTCGGCCGCAACTACGACAGGTCAGAGTGGACTTTCGTCGTTAGCATGGTTAGCGATAGAGAAGGACTTGGTGTTAGAACTGGAATTCACGGATAATTTACACAACTGTAATTGAAAATCATGGAATCAAGGAAGGAGAGGAGAGTGGATTTTGTGTACGATCACAAGTTTGGGTGAGTAAAACGCATTTCTTTTTTTATATATTGTCGAATGTGCAGTACTTTTGGTAAAATACTGTTTCACACAAGGTTAACAGATCTGTATTCCACTGGTCGAGTCTGTGAATTCATCAGACATAAAGCATGGAGACGTCTTCGCTTTTTGCTTGGCTAGATACGTTTACCAAACCAGGGTTTCTCCAGGTGACACCTGGTTTTAAAATCTAAGCATGTTTTTACTTAGTGACAATCAATGTAGTAGAATATTTAAAATAACAAAGAAAAAACAAGACGATGCTAGCAGGCAATCCCACAGTCCCATATTTTGCTTTGCTTTTGTCAGGGCTAAAAAGAGTTAAATATCAGTTCAGATTATATGACAAAAGCTATTATTATTATTATTATTTAAAGGCTATTTTCTCCATATATCCAACATAGAATTCTGGGGGTATGGTATTTCACTTCCGGTCATAACTTTCTTCTTTACCATTCATCTGAAGACTGAAATCAAGGTAATTTATATATTTTATCCTTTTGCGATTTTTTTTAAAAAAAAGTAAAATATAAATTTAAACATTAAATGGATGCTTATTTCAATTATTTTCACTACTGGAGGTTGAAAAACCCAATAAAAATAAAAAATATAATTTAGGAAAATGTTTAACAAAGTTTAAATGAGGAAATTCAGAACCCATTCAGAGTTGCTACATCTGCCGTAGAACTGTTACAGGTGTTAAATATTTATATTAAATAAAACTGAATTGTATAGGTAATGTATATATTTATTTATATATATTTTTGGAAAATTATAAGAGATGAATAAAACATTTTAAATCCAATCACACTGCTCCATTAGGGAGCAATGCATTCCAAATTTGCATAGAAATTAATGTCTAAGTAGGCTAAAGTCTTTAATTGACATGCAATTAGCAATATTATGGGACCGGGACCTAATGAAGTTTTAGTGGCTGAACTGAGCAGAGAATGATGACTGCTTAATTATCATATTAATGAAGTCATTACTTGTCACTTAACTTAAGTGACAGGTAAGACAAGAATGTCATGATCCTACAATTTACCCAGTAAATGTGTATTCAACACTAATTACCTCCCAGCTCACACCTCATGGTGGCAGTGTGGACGAGATGACTGTGACAGAGGCACGCAGGAGACAAGGCAACAAAACAACAGTGAGGTTTATTGAATCATTGACTGGAGCGTCTTCAAGGTCACCTGAGGACAAACAACACCATTCAGTCTGCACACGGGCAACAGACAGAAGCTGCATTTTTCTGTACTCCCAGTTTGATGCAGCCTGTACTACAGACTAGAACAAAAAAAAAAAAGAAAGAAAACCCAAAATCCCAGTCCACACTGTAGGTGTGATTGGGCTGCAAAATGAAAATCCTTAAAGGAGTCAAATGAGCATGGAGACTGGAGGTCCACCCACTGGCTGTCTCTTCTTTCATTCCAATTCATTTCAATTACCCAGTCACTCCCACCTCCTTCACCATGTCCCGATTAGCTCTGCTTGGCAATTTACAGTTGATCTGGCCTCATCTAATGCCAAGCAATGGTGGAGGCACGAAAACCAGCAGTAATGGAATGAAATGTCACTCAGTTGCTGCCTTTGTCACAAAGACGCAGGGAGGTTTGGGGGAAGATGGGGGATGTTGGTAAGATGGGGTGAGAAGTTGTGTGTGTTGGACTCTTGTGGTTGTGCTTTTACTCAAACAGACAACCCCGGGACCTCTGCATCACCAGTTACCAGAGCATCTCCCCTCATCTTGGTCGCCCTCACGGCTTCTTCATCTTCTTCACTGATGATGAGCTGGATGCTGATTCTCTCCGTTTGCGCTGTGATAGGACGCAAAATATCACAGTCAGTGGGAATTGTAGCAAAACAACCTTTGTTGTCTACATCTATCTATTATTTTTAAATTTTTTATAAACTAAATTATGTATGTTTTTGTATTGTAGTCCGCACAAATGGACAATGGTTTGTTCACCTGATCGAACAAAAGGTTTAGATGAAAAACACATTTTTATAAATGATCATGAGTTGAACCTGTGGAATACAGATTTTTTTTCCTAGCATTTTAAGGATGGTTGCAGTGCAGACCAGGCTCTAATCTGATTCAGACTTACTGAGTTGGGGGTGAGCGGCGCTCCTACAACATCAATTATCTGCTCCTTAGCTTCCACTTTGATGTCATCTACACAGGGCCACGACTGAAGATCACCGCCTGGGGTGGACGCAGCAGTGCTGTTGAGTTCTCCGCCTGGCGCTACAGCGGCGAGCGCTGCACCTGCTGTTCCACACGCTCCCCCGCCGCCCGCCTTCAGAAGAGCCTCGTAGCGATGACGAAGCATCTGCTGCTCATATTCACAGTTGCTGTGAGCCTGCTTTAGCTCGTAGAGCAGCACCAGGTCGCTGCGCAGCTCGTTGAACATCTGCACGATCTCTTCTGTCGGCATGGGGTTCAGATCTGCACGCAGAGACAAAAAGGTGCCGCTCATGTTCAAATGTATAAAGATTGAATTTTTGTTGTGATGAATGACATGCTTTTTCTTTTTTTTTTAACTTATTCTGCTGTAGATATGTGAAACTTTTAGCCATTAGATGGGTTAGTGGGGCAAATTCACACTTACCCACTCCCTGCTCTACAAGGATTTGCTCAATGGCCTTGATCTTCTTCTGACCCACTGAGCTTGGCAGTTTCATCTGAAACACACAGACACAGTGAGACTCACACACTTATATACACACACAGACAGACTTGTGACTTCAGGTGTGGGGATATTAGGAAAGACAGCTCCACTTCTGGGCTTTTAATTCCTATGAAATGCACTTCAGTGGGCCAGATCAAAATGTCTTTATCCACTGAACTCTGTCTGACTGATTAGCTGGAGGGCCACTCCACTTCTTTAGCCCTGCTAATGCACATCGCATAGAGAGCAGCAGTTTCTCATCAGTCTCAAAGATGAATTGGAGATCCCTGGCTACGTCTTACCGATATTAGCTCGTCACCAACAAAATTAATCATTGCGCTGCTAATGAGAGATTGCCCACTGGAGTCAAACCCTGCGTTTCCCACATACATCAACTGAAGGTTCAAGCTTCACTAAAATTTATGAGGATAATTATATTTTTCAACATCATTTTAAAAGTTTTAGAAGCATTTCAAAAACATGCTGCAGAATGACCAGTGGAGATGCTCTTCTTTTTGGGGTATTGAAGGATACCCTCAAATAGATTTGTTTTAATCTTTAAGATCTGTATTTTTGGCATTGTATGTGTTAAAGGGTAAAAAAAAAGTCTTAATTTTTATTTAATATGTAGAATCTGGTTTGACTCACCCTCTGACTGCGCAGTGTAACTCCAGCTGATTTGAAGTCAGGGAACTTAATGCCTGCTGTCTCTGGAACCACCTACAGAACAGAAGTATTCAGTAAGTTGATGCATTGATACATTGACCAAATTCCAGGCAAAATACAATGTCTAACACAAATATGATTTACTTCTGTATGTGATGAAAGCTGTGAACGCATCATGACATGCAATTATGTATTAGTGCACAACATACTGGTTTCTCTGTTTCTCTTTTTTGTGGGATCTTTTTCTTGGACACTCTCTTCTCAGCTCGTCTCAACTCCGTGGTCGTGTCAGCTGCTTTAATAAGTTTCTGCAGATCCTGAGCCTTCTTCTCCCGCTCCTTCTTTCTGGTTTCAATCTTCCTGAGCTCTTGTATTAGATATTCCTCTTCTGCCACCTGCAGGAAATTTTGAGAAGTGCAATTATTTAAACAAAATTAAACACTTTAGCTGTGCCTCATTCCAAATAAAGCACAAAGTTACTAACTTGTTCTGGTGTACGATTGAAGAGCTTCTCCAGTTGTTCTTTGCGGCGTCTTTCATGGCCAGCATCAAAAATGTAGATTTTGGGCTCTGTCCCTGTGGCTGCACGAACCTTTGTCAGTTTACCACAAATAGTGTAATACCGTTCTTTTAAGTCCTCGACAGAGCGTTTCTGAAAATAGTGTAATACCGTTCTTTTAAGTCCTCAACAGAGCGTTTCTGAAAAAAAAGAAACAAATTTTTACATGTGGCAGAACTATGATTTTTGCGATATTTAATCATCTTGAATAGAAAATCTGAGCACTGTGGGTTAGCAAAAAGAAAAAAGGATTACTCGATATTGCTGGTGATCGTATCGGTCATGGACGACTACGAAGCGGAGGTCAAAACGTTTGCACAGGTCGAACAGGTGGTCTGTCTCTGCTTTAGTCCAACCATCATCATGGAGATGCATCTGATATTCCTGCTCTGAATACACTGGTACCTGCACTGTCTAAAAAAAACAGACAGAATACACACTCTGAACCAACATAAAAATCAATAATATCTGAGAGAAAAAAGGTGAAGGGATAAAGACCAGTTCCTCAACGATGATTAGACTCAAAAAAACCCTTACTTTATTAAAACGGGCAAAAGGATAGTCTTTGCCTTCCTCTGCTGCACGTCTCCAGTGATGGAAAATGGCACCATCCCGGCGAGCAGGGTTAGTGAAGGGCATCCACTTCCAGGGCCGCACCTTTTTACATCCCAGTTTTGCCTTTACTGTTCTATAGCCCTGAGTTGTGTCACTAGGCAGCAGAGGAGGTGCATCTCTGAAAGACAGAAAGTGTTATAAACATATGGAAATAGGGGTAAACAGTTTATTATCTTGTTCTCTTATATGAAAATGTCGTAGTACTTCTTATCTGAGTACAGCAGAGCGTAAACCTCTCTGTGCATTCCCTCTGGTCTTTTGAAGGTCAGCGTTTCTGTGGCCTTTTTGGATTTTTTCTAAAACAAGTCAAAAACAATGGGGGGAAATTTAATTCACCCTGTATATACAGTACAGTAGTGACACTGTAAGTACACATCAACATGCCTTCAGTTTATAGTACTGCTCAGAACATCTCTAGATAACGTTGGTCCATTGTCTTTACACAGATTGGTAGAATGTAGTTTTATTTAACCGTTTATGTGGTTTAGTTGACAAACGAACTCATCGCTGAGTGTTTACAAATTAACTCACCTTGTCGGAGTTGATGAGATCTTTCTTGCTGATTGGACCGTCATTATCCCCTCCCGTCAACTCCAGGATGTCCCTCACATCAGCACCCGTACCCATTTTTGAATATGTTGTTGTAGATCGGTCTTTTTTAAACTGTCAACTCTAAGCCGTTGTCATTCATTTAATGTCGACTATACAATACAGTGTTGCTAATCGAAAATTCTAACCAGAGGCTACCGCTAGTTAGAGACGTTAATCAACGATTAAAACTAAGAGGCAAAAAGGTCACCGGATAGTTATAGGGATGTCTTCCCCAGCATGTTTGTTTTAAGTAAAGCTGCAACGATACTAATTAAAAATATCCATTAGCTATTGTTAGGATTAAATGAATAGCTAGCAAGCGGGGAAAGCCGACAGTACTTCCGGTCCCACTTTCGCAACTATAACTTCACTGCCCGAAGATTTCTGTCGCTCCCAAGAGGTCAGGCGGTAAACTGCAGAAAATACATTTAACCGCTGCTGTATGGCAAAGTTATCAGATGTTGATAAATCCCAATCTCAATACCAATATTCCAATATTTCATTTATTATTATGACGAGCGGTTCATAGGTGGCAAGAATGAAAAGTATAACCGATTTTTCCCCTTTGTAAGTATCATGAAGACAGTGTGTAAGGACCCGTATTTTGTTTTTTATCCTGTAAAGAATTTAATAAACACTCACTTAAATTCGAAAAACATCTGCTTTTTAATTATATGAAGATGTCAGTTTGAGTTTTGTCGATAGGTTTAAAATCTGTGCTTTTGTTTTTGACGACAACCTACTTTGAACCACTAGGCGGCGGTAACGCTTTTTCTTTGTTGGCAAACCGTCAATGAACCTTCAAAGAAGAATCCCTTTGAAGCTTTTGAATTTCCCAGCATCCTTTTCATCCGCTTACACTCTTTTTCCGGCGCCATTTTCACTAACTGTTGTCGCAGGAGAGGATCTTGCAGTTTCATACCCAGCGGTGCTTTCTTTCAGTATCAGTGTCATATCAACGTTTAAAACAAACCCTCTTGCTTTAGTGCGATTTTATACGTAGGACATATCAAATTGCTAAAGAAAATGTCAAACGAACAGGCCGAGAACGCACCTGAAACTGCACTGCAGCCGCCGCAGCAAGCACCAGCACAGCAGCAACCACCAGCACAGCAACAGCAGCCGGGGTAAGTAATTAATTTTTCATTCACTCCTTTGTTGACTCGTGGCTTGGTTAAATTTTTTATACAAGAAAAACATATATTGCATTTTTTTTGCCTCAAAGTTGTTACACCTCACATTTTTAACGATTGGCAATACAATATATGTGCCAATCGATTTTTAACTGTTGAAAAGGCGTGTTCCGGCATACTAGCTAATCACGCCCTGTAATCTAATGCACGTTTAGAAATTTAATGTTCAGTTATCAATTTTAATTGATTAATTTGACAGTTTTTGGTCTCTGTTTGACCAACCGATTAGTTTTGCAATAGCCTGAGTTTATGATGGTCAGGCCCGGTACGCACAAAGAGCGGCCTAGTCACGCGACATTAGCCTAAGTGCTAATGTTGCTCGCAGGACGAATCTTTCACCAGAAGCGGTATGGGCCTTAACATAAAACAAGTACGCCGTTTTAGTTATGCAACCGTGATTTTAAAAATGCAGTATTATCCAATTATTTCCAATATTACAGAATGTTTTGCTAACTTGCGTAACGGTGACCTCATTCAGTTTTTAAACGTGAATCTTCCAAAGGAAAAAGCTATGTTTAACACTTGTAATATTGCTTTCAAAGCGTTAATATCAATATACATACTCACCAATTTTATTTGCTAAGCAAATGTACAATTTCCGCCAATTAGAATTAGTTTGTTTGTTTTTGCAGGCACCTTCGTAGACGTTGATATTTAACATTGATTTAAACAACAGTTGTAAATGATTTCTGTAAACAGTGAAGTCAATGGGAAGGCTAAGCATGAACCCAACCTAAGCAGGAAGGAGAGACCCCAGAAGAGAGGTGGAGGTGGACGTTATGAACCCTACGGAAACGTGAACAAAAGATTCAGTGTGTTCGTCAGCAACATCCCATACGATGTGAAATGGCAAGCCCTGAAAGACCTGATGAAAGAGAAAGGTAGGGTAACCCGAGGATGTGAATTGGACTTAAATGATAGGAGTCATTTTTGTCACCAACTATCACTCTACAGGTGCTCTTCGGAGTGTTCATTGTCTCTCTACAGGAAACCCAAGTTGAAGAATGTTGTTTTGAGAGGTTGTAGGAGTTATTTGGGTACCTGGTTATTGATATGAACCACTGAGGAGTTGCCAATGACTTGCAAGGTGCTTTGAATCTAGTTGTCAGATTGCACATTCATCTTCTCTGTGAGGCCGCCACAATCTTTTGTGGTTAGTTTGAAGTGAAGTTGTACATTTGTTAGGATGCTGCACTAATGTGAAAATGAAGTGGCTTTGAATCACTAAGAGCCTTAATGAGATGCTTTCCTTGAGAAATGCATTAAAAAAAACTACAAATATTTTTTGAGGAGGTTTGCACAACTATATTGCCTGCCAAAAAGATCCAAAACTCCTAACAACAATAAGACCATGGCACCCAACTACAATTTGCTCAATAACAATTTGTCATACAACTTCTATGAATGTAAAAGAATATCAACTATGAGTTCTTTTATTACATAATATAGAAGTTAATTATTTAAGTTGTGTTGTTGGAGAGGGGTAAAATGGAAGTAAACACAAAAATGTGAAAGTACTTAAATGTCCTATTGGTGCAAACCTCTCCTTAAGGAGTGCTTGGTGTTTGTTTTTATGATTCATGACTGTAGTTAAATTGCATTTTCTTTTGTAGGTGTGGCGTTGACAAGCAAATGTTTTCTCAGCAGATCTCCATGTTGTGCCAAACACGGCTATGCGTTGGGGATTCTTTGGGGTACAGGTCTACAAAATTAGGCAACTTCTTAAGCCCTGTCCTTGTAATTAGAGGGTTTGGTATTGATCCATTTTTTTATATCTAAGAAAAGTGATCTGAAAAGAAGCATGGCTGTGGTCAGCGCAGACTCAAAATTGATCATGCGTCCTAAAGCGGGTAATGGTCAGAAATGTTTGTATTAGGTGAAGTTTTCGATTCATATCTATTTACTTTTTTTGGTTAGTGTTCCCGTAGACTTTGCCTCACACTCTGATGGCACATGCATAAGGTCAAGGTTTAAAATGGTGAAATTTCACAGTTTGCTGATTTTTCAGTGAAGTGGGTGGAGGCATTGAAAAGGTTTGAACCAGCTGAAATTTGGTGGTTAAACATTATAGAAGGTGGTGTGCACTGCATTATACTCGAGTAGGAAAGATGATGGCCATTTACTAGTTGTTGTCACCAGTTTTATTGCGTTTGGTGATTTGGAAGAAACGAGGACAGGCTAAGAAGTATTTTTTTCCTTTGAAGAAGCCAAGCTTGTTTTTGTAGACCTGTACCATATTGTGCTGCTGTTGTACTGGGGGATTCTCAGGACTGGCAGTCCACTGTCAATGGCCGCCCTCTGCTTGTGTTTCTGCTCTAAACCCCCATTGTTCTCTCGGCTTCTCTCCCCTTGGTGTGTGTCGTCTCTGGAATCTGATTTGTAGTGGGTGAGGTAACGTACGTGGAACACTTAATGGACGCAGAAGGAAAATCAAGGGTAAGTGCAACTACATAAAAAGTTAAAATATAAATCACATAAGACAAACGTGTGTTTGTCAGCTTTGGTTTCTTTACACAATTGTTGGAAATTGTTTGGATTCAGAAATCTGAAGTGTGTGAAGTGGGGAGGCACATCTGCCAATGGCACTTTTTGTGATGTCGTCTGTGGTACTGCCTTTAGGCAATCTGCAGGTTGATGATGTATCTTCAGTTTTTCTGTAGCCACTTGTGGGATTGGAACAGCTGACACTGTCCCTTTGGGTGCTGGACTTGTTTTTATGAAAAACTGAGCAATTCAATAAGAGGTTGATAGTAGGCTGATGGCTGATCAGATGGTTGTTAAATATAACTAGACCTCCAATACCTCATTTTGTAGTTCATCACTGTGGATTTCTGCTTTGTGGATGTTGGAAAACTATTTAATATTTTCATGTGATTGCATCATTAGAAAATAGATCAAATGTGGACAATATAAAATATTTTGTGCCTCAGAGCTCCTCCGAGGCTGTGGACTTGTGTGCTGTTGAAGTTTTGTGCATGATTTTTTAAACATATTTTGTACTATTAAACATCCACCAAATGTTGCTTTTACTCATTTGTGTTTTGTTTTTTTTCTTGATATGGCATGTGCTGATTTCTTCAATCAACAAAGGGTTGTGCGTAAGTATTTTACTGACTTTTTACACCACTTATTTATTGATCTGATGTAGAAATAATTTAAAATGTATAGTTGTGTTAAAATTGCCATTAAAATATGACGGTTCTGATTCTTTGTTTGTTTCTCTAAGTGTTGTTGAGTTCAGGACTGAAGAGTTGATGAAGAAAGCAGTTGAGAAAGTGAACAAGCACAATCTCAATGGACGCCCCCTTAAAGTAAAAGAGGTAAGAAAAAAGAAAATAAAATCACTAGTTAAATTTTCCCATTCAATTGATGTGACCTCTCATGCTGCTTTGTGCTTTGTTCAATAACAGGATCCTGATGGCATCATTGCCCAGAGAGAAATCAACAGAGCTCAAGGTGGAGGTCCCCCAGGAGGCCATGGTGGAATGGGCGGTATGGGAGGAATGGGCGGAATGGACCGCATGAACATGGATCGAATGGGCCCTGGACCAAATGGGCCCATGGTCAATGTTCCTCCCAGCATGATGAACAACCCCAACATCCCCTCTGAGATTCTTCAGGGTCTCCAGGCTGGCAGGATTGGAAACACAGTGTTTGTTGCCAATGTGAGTCTTACTGTTGCAGCAACTTTTTGCTCAACACTCCTGTGTTGGAATTAAAACCAGCAACACTCACTGCTTAAATACAGTCAGTTAAATTATTTTGATAGAATTATTTATAGTTATAGAGTTTTTATTTAGAGTTACTGACGTGCAGCTTCAGCTTTTCTTAGCTTCGACCGGTAACCTTTATATTATATTCACACAGCTTGACTACAAAGTGGGCTGGAAGAAGCTAAAGGAGGTGTTCGGCATGGCCGGTACAGTGGTGAGGACTGACATTCTGGAAGACAAGGAAGGAAAAAGCAGAGGAATGGGCACAGTGACCTTTGACATTCCCATTGAAGCTGTTCAAGCTGTCTGTATCCTTTTGAAAACAGTTGGCTTTTGGTGTGAAGCTGATGTTCTTACAGTTAAATGTTATGTTTTCCTCGCTCCCTTCATGTACTTTCCTTAACCATTACACAGCTATGTTCAACGGGCAGATGTTGTTCAACAGGGTCATGCACGTCAAACTGGTACGTTGTCTTACCTCTTTTCGCTTAATTGTTTTATTACCTTGTGCAGTAGCATTGATCATTTCCCCTGCCTTCCTTCCAGGATGAAAAGTCCATGCCTAAAGATTTTGGACCACCTGAGAGAGGCTCTTCCCTTCCACGTAAGTTTACTCTGTGTATAGTTAGTAAAATGCTGTACAGAAAGAATCTGTAAAAACTATTATCGGCAAGTCACACAGAAAATAATCATATCAGAATTGGCTGAAAAAATTGAAATTGGTGGACCTCTAATTGTAACTTTTCTTTTTTTTTTTAAGGTGGACTTAGTGGTATTGGCATGGGTCTTGGACCTGGCGGTCAGCCTCTTGATGCTGGCCAGCTGAACAGAGGTGGTGGAGGAATGGGCAACATGGGTCCTGGAGGTAATTTCTTTGATTGTGTGTTTTGATAATTGAGAGTAGGGACCAGTTAAGTCCATCGTCATCATAACATATCTTCTTTGTAGGAATGGATGGAATGGGCTTTGGCAACATGGGAGGTCGTATGGGAGGAGGAGGAGGTGGAGGAGGAGGGGCAGGTATGTACAATTTTTCAGAAAACTTTGAAAATACTCCAATCTCAAAGTGGGAGTTGCATTGATATTGATTTATTTTTATTTTTTTCTGTTGCAGGAATGGACAACTTTGGAGGAATGAACAACATGGATCGTTTTGGTTCATCAGGCATGGGCAGAACGAATGGTAAGGAGATATTTTAGAATGTGCACTCCAGTGCCAAACGTGAGTGAGTCACGTTTGCTGGATACATCTAATGGTTTCTCTTGCATTGTCAGAGATGGATCGTGGAATTGGTGGTGCTTTTGACAGGGAGTTTGGGCGAAATGAAATGGGAATGTCTCGCAATAATTTTGGAGACTCCTTTGAAAGAGGAATGGGTTAGTATTTTTAGGATTTTGCTTGAAGCGCCTGTAAGTCCTGCGATAAGCCGCTTCTGATGTGATCTGTTACAGAAAAGACAATTGTTAATATTACTTTTTTTATTTTATTTTTCTCTTTATTTGCTTTTCCAGGAAACTCTATGGGTATGGACCGGATGAACTCTGGAATGGACCGTCTGGGTAGCAACATGGATCGCATGCAGGGAATGGACCGTCTTGGCATGGACAGGATGGACCGTGGTTCTGACCTGGACAGGCTGGGTTCTGGCTTCGACCGAATGGGCTCAGGGATGGACCGCCTGGGGCCCAGTATGGACAGAGGGGACCGAATGGGCTCTGGCATGGATCGCCTTGGCCAAGGAGGGTTTGATCGCATAGGATCATCTAGTCTGGAACGCATTGGATCTGGCATGGACTTTGGCTCCCCCATTAACATGGATCGCATGAGCAACACAAGCCTTGACAGGATGGGCAGTAACTTCGACCGCATGGGCTCCACTGGAGGTATGGAGCGCTTCCCTTCGGGTGGCATTGACCGTATGAATTCCGGCATGGACCGCATGGGAACTGGAGGTGTCGGTGGCCAGTTTGATCGCTCCGGTGACATGGATCGTGGATTCGGTGGCAACTCCTTTGGAGGATCTGGTGGCAATGCCAGAAAGGGATGTCAAATCTTTGTCAGAAATGTAGGTCTCTACTGCAGATGAACCTTAGACCACACATTTGTGTCATTCAAAGTTTAATTATTTTTCTTTCATTTTCAGCTGCCATTTGATTTCACCTGGAAGATGCTGAAGGATACCTTCAATACATGTGGTTGGTGTCTATTTACACTATAATAAATGTTGGGAATAATAATTAAAGCTGTTGATTGATTGTATTGTTTACATTCTGCAGGTATGGTCCAGTATGCTGACATAAAAATGGAGAACGGCAAGTCCAAGGGCTGTGGCGTGGTCCGTTTCGACAACCCTGAAACTGCTGAACGCGCCTGCCGGACCATGAATGGTTACCGCTTGAATGGAAGGGAGATCGATGTTAGAATTGACAGAAATGCATAAGATATTGATCATGATTAACATCTGAAAATTACTTTAGCCCCTCTAGTCCCCACCTGCTCATGAATTAACACACTTGCTTTGTTTAGATGTAAGTGTAATTGTTATTTTAGTTTGTACTTTGTAGCAACAATTGTTTTAGTTGCTAAAATGTTCCTAGTTTTCTTTTTAGAGACCAAATTTTTAATTTTTTTGGAAAAGGTTCATCTTTCACTGCCTTTGTTGTACAAGGTGTTTTGATAAATAAATTCCAGAGTTTTGAAAAAAAAAAAAGACTTGTTTTGTTGCATGTATGGCCTCCTGTTGCATGTATTGTTTTCAGTCATGAAAATAATTTGGCCAGCAGGGCTGCACCGTATAAAGGAGCTGCACATAAAATAAATCTATAATAACAACAAACAATCCATATTCTATTTTTTTCTAATTATTTTTGCTTGTATTAATAAAAGCCTTAAGATACAATAAGAAAAGTCTTGGGCTACACGTCATTGTAGCTTCACTGCTGCTTTTCTACTCTTTCAGTCTTCAAAAACAAGGCCTAAACTCTGACCATTTTTGTGCATAGAGGATGTGAATTTATGTGAAAGGCTAAATTATTTAAGTTTTTTTTAATTCAGACAATATATTACAATATACAACGTTGACTTTGGTAGTCCCTCCCCTTGCGGACATGGAAGGTCAACACCGGAAAGAGGTCATGGTTCATTCAAAATGGCGGCTCCCGTGTGTTTGTGTTATCGGGTGAGTTTTGGTAGAGTTTCCTGTCTTTTTACACAACTAAGCACTGAATTTGAATAAAAATGTTCAACTGTGAAATTAACTGGATGTATCTGTATGTATACCGACAAATGACACTGCGAAATATATTACGTGGTCGCTAATGTTGCGTCAGCTAGCAGAGTTAGCTCTGAGGGTACGAAGGTAACCCGGTGTTTTCTGTCACTGTAACTCAAAGATTAATTATGTTTAAATGTTGAACAAGATCTTTATGATTAAATTAAAGTAAAATAAGTAAATAAGTAAAATAAGTTGCGTAGGTATATATACTTGTAGATATTCTCAGCCATCATAATAATCTCAAAAGCAGTTTTAAAAGTAGGCAAGGGAGATTATTCGTAAGTGACAATAGTTGTTTGGTTTTATATACTGATGAAAACAGCCGATGTTAATACCTCTTCAGGCAAAGTTGATTTAAAAAAAAGGTGTTAAAGCTTAGTTTGTCTTGGTTTCTCCAGGTCTGCACTGGAAGAGGTTTGGTGCCATCCCCCTCCTCTTACCTGAGGCTTTACTACAGACCAAATGTCTTCAGGATACGTGGGCTTCTTTCAAGTTCCTCGCATGTATGAACATGTGTACCCAAACAGTATAGTTAAATCTAAGAATATAGTACACAATCAACAATCTAAACTAATAAGTTGTATATTATTTGGTGTTTGTTCCACCCAGACGCCTGGTTCACCCCCTCTACATGTGAGGTATCTGTCAGCAGATCGGGGGGGTGGCCGGAAAGGTTTTCTTGGGGAGTTTTTGGACAACCTGAAGCAGGAGCTAAATAAAAACAAGGAAATGAAAGACAACATCAAGAAGTTTCGAGAAGAGGCAAAAAAACTGGAGGAGTCAGAAGCCTTGAAACAAGCTAGAAGAAAATATGTAAGAATAACACCTTTAACAGACACACATTGCAGGCATGCCGTGTTTTATATATATATATATATTATCAAATAATTTTTCCTTTCACCCTCTCAGAGAACTATTGAATCTGAAACGGTGAAGACATCTGAGATTTTCAAGAAGAAGATGGGAAACATCTCTGAGACAGTAAAGGAGGTAAATAAGAATCTTTAAATTTCACTCCTTTTAAGGTGGGTTTATAGTTGTCAACAAGGTTTATCTAACTGTGTCTTTGTGTGTTTGTGAGGACAGGGGCTGGAAGAGGTCAGTCGGACGGAAATTGGAAAGAAAATTAAAGAAGGGATGGAGGAAGCGGCAAAAACGGCTAAGACTTCAGCTGAGTCTGTCTCCAAAAGTGGTGAGAAGCTGGGCAGGACCAGTGCCTTTAAAGCAATATCTCAGGTAAGAGGCTCATCCTTTTGACTGCAGATCCAACATTAACCAATAAAATGTTTTCATTTATTTTGTACAAATTGAATACACAAATGTATCCAGAGAAGCAGAGAACCTGAACCCTTTCCGACCTCCTCACTATATTTCCCAATGTCCCTAGTGGAGAACAAAAAGTAATGTCACACTAAATGCAAGTAGTTGTAATGACAAATGGTTGCCCTGAAAATGATAAATCTAGGACGTCCTCTGTTTAGTAGGTGCACTGCACGCTGCATACTTATTCTCATATCCACTATATCCACGTCCCTTCACATCAACATCCAGACTTCCTCCTGCTTTTTCTGTTTTATCTTAAGTGAAAGTAGAGCACCAAGTTGAAGTAAAATGTAATCTGACAGAATGATGATAAATTTTGCCAAACACTTAACTGTTTATGTCATTTCAGGGCATGGAAAGTGTAAAGAAGGAGATCGGTGACCTGGGTCACGCTGGCCCTTATCGGCCTCCTGTCAAACTCCGTAAGAGAAGTGAGTTCTCCTCCAAGGGTCGAGGGGACGACGGCAAGGTCTATGAAGCCAACGAGTACGTGAGTGCCCTCGGCTCAGCTGTGCTGCAGGGAGACTACTGTGTCTGAATACTGTACTGTAAATGACCTCACACTGTATCATCAGTCACGCTGGGTTCACATGCAGTCAGGTTACAAGGGACCAAACTAAACACCATGTTATTTAAAACTATCAAAGTCAGACTGAGGTGTCTTTAGGGTCCTTGATAGATTGATAAATACTGTAATATATATATATATAATTACTTATATGTCCGGGGTGTCCTCTACATTTACTGATGACAAATGTTTATCAGCTGACTCTAATGGTTTTTGTTCCCTAAACAGCTAATGTCCTTTTGCTACTTCTGCCTATGAATGTTTTCCTCTTTTTTTTATTATACCACGTAGCATTTTTAACCTTTGTTTACTGGTAAATGTTGTTAAATAAAATGGTTAGCATTAGTGCTACACATCCGTGCTGAGTGATATATAATGGTTAGCATTAGTGCTACACGTCCGTGCTGAGTGATTTAATATAATGGTTAGCATTAGTGCTACACATCAGTGCTGAGTTTTTTTTGTTTTTCCATTATTCTTTTCCTAATTTATGAATTAACGTTTTCCTTTATGTTCTACAGGGATGCTACAGGTGTGGTGCTCCACAAGGACTCAAAATGGTACCAGCAGTGGAAGGAGTTCAAGGATAACAATGCAGTCTTCAACAGTAAGAACTTTCTCACTGCCATCACTTGACTGTATTTACAAAAAGCTTCAATTGTGATGTTCCAGCTACATTTAAGTCTGGGATTAATATTTGTCACAACTTGAGTCGGGAACATTAGAAGCAGCTTAATTGTAATTGTTATGGAAAAAATATTTTTTCTAGGGGGCGCTACTGTCAGTGTCACACAGCTCTGGTCATACAATACATGTCTAAAACATATTTATACATGAGAAAAGAAAAACTGTACTTTGCCCATGCACAGTTCAAAATATGTTTTAAGTTTTAATAAGGTTTAATAGAGAGAGCCTGAAGAATGGACTTCATACATTACCAGTAACTGGTTAATTTATATTAAAATATGACACATTAGTAGGAAGAAAAAAAGACTGGTGATTAATAAGGTTTGGACAGGTGAAGAATTAACTACACTTCAAACATTTCTCAAATTTAACAGCCCCTGTCGCTGTGTACGTGTCTGCAACATCTGCTGCATTTTCAGCACTTTTGGTGAAACTTTATTATTTATGTGGTGGTTAATTGGAAAAGCTAGTCATGTTGATATACTGCAAGTTTGAGAATATCTTTCCAGATAATGATATTAGCTGATATATTAGTGAGCCGTAGTCTAGTGGTTATCACATTTGCCTTACAAACAAGATGTCCTGGGTTTGAGACCCAGAGGAACCACATACTGTAAATGAAAGACTTTGACTTCACTCACAGCCCTGGTTTGAGACCCAGAGGAACCACATACTGTAAATGCTGTAAATGAAAGACTTCGACTTCACTCACAGCCCACCACCCTAACTCTGATCACTGCAGGGTTTTTTGAGATGAAGATGAAGTACGATGAGAGTGACAACGCCCTCATCAGAGCATCTCGTGCCGTCACGGACAAGATGACGGACCTGATAGGTGAGAGGTCGACCGTCCAAATAATACTGTGAAATTAAGTTAAGTTTTTATTTAAGCTGAAAGATAATTTTGGACAGAAAGACAAGACTCATGAAGACTCCTCTCCTCAGGTGGACTGTTCTCTAAGACAGAGATGTCTGAGGTCCTAACAGAAATTTTAAAGGTTGACCCTTCTTTTGACAAAGACTCCTTCTTGAAGCTGTGTGAAAAAGACATCATCCCCAACGTACTGGAGGTGAGTTGGACTGAAAACAATCCCTGCAGACCCAAATGTAGTCTCAGCATGTATTCATGGATGTACTAACGGGTGTTATCTGTCACTGATGCAGGCGATGGTCAGAGGGGAGTTGGAGGTGTTGAAGGACTGGTGTTACGAGGCGGTATGACATTCCTCACAGCCTGACTCACAGTATTCAAACTCATACACAGGCTCATGACTTTATGTTTTATTCTCGTGTGTTGTTGTGTAGACGTACAGTCAGCTGGCTCACCCCATACAGCAAGCAAAAGCCCTGGGTCTTCAGTTCCACTCAAAAATCCTGGACATTGACAATATTGACGTAAGTTACTGGAAACATATACGAATAATAAGATAAAAAGATCAGACATTATTAAAACTTTTTCAGTGGCTGGTAATTTAGTGAAAATTACCACAAAAAAAAAGTAAGATGTTCATAATAAGGTTGTTGAAATGAATGCATTAATCATCAATTAAATCAATTAATTTCTGAAATGAAAGTGATTTTAAAAAACAAAAAAACATCTAACTAATTAGTCTCTTTAAAGAAGGTGCATGTAGCAACACTTCCTTTACTGTAGGAGGTGCTATAATCCCTGTGCAAAATCCCTAGTGCTGCACTAGTAGTGCTAGTAGATAATAAAGTATGACAACTACATTCACACAGAAAAGTATTTCATTTATTAATTTATAAAATACTACAAATACAGTAATATACTTGAGTAGCCCAATAAAATATTTGTGGACAGTATTTTGTACATTTTCTGTGATTTTCATTTGTATGGAATCTCTACAGTAATGTTTATGCAAATATCTGCCAATCTAAAAAGAGCTTCCTTGTAATATGTGTATTTTATTAGAAAATAATTGTCTCATTATTACAGTTCTGTTCAAATGTCACATTTTTTTAATGCGTCCTTTGTCCAGCTGGCCATGGGAAAGATGATGGACCAGGGTCCTGTGCTGATTATCACCTTCCAGGCTCAGTTAGTCATGGTGATCCGAAACACCAAAGGAGACGTTGTGGAGGGAGATCCTGTAAGTAACATTTAAACGGGAAAAAAACGATTTTTTTTCCCTCACTACAATGAAGCATTCGTTGTCACTTCTTCCATAACGAACTGTGGTCCTTCAACAAGAGCACCAGTAGAATGGTGTAAGACAACTGGGAGACTTACGGTGCGGACGTGCTCTCATTTATTTTCACCCTGGGCCCAGACTACAGCTTTATGGGCTGTAAAGCAGCCATGTTGTCCACTCAGGGCTCCTCAGGGACACACGTAATTGGGAAAAAGGTGTCCACTCAGTGTTATGAGCTTGGCTCCAGCCCAGTGTTGGGGGTAAAAGTCTATTACCAGAGAATTAATGGTGGATACACTGTTTTCTGAATATACTGTTCTTCAGAGTTTTGGGAGATATATCCCAATTCCTGGTTATGAATAATACATGGGTGGAAGTGCTGTATGGGTTTTTTTTAAATATTGTTTTACACTTAAAAGAAAAAAAGTTAAATAAAGTTTATTTATTTTTTAAAAACACAGTGTTTCTTGAATGTAGTAAAAATTATTAAGTTGATTTTTATGCAGGTGTTTTTGTTTTGTTTTTTTGTCTGTGTTTTCAGTTGATTAAGAAGTGAACTTTATGTTTTTGGTCCTTCAGGAGAAAGTGCTGAGGATGATGTATGTTTGGGCACTTTGTCGAGACCAGGAGGAACTTAATCCATATGCCGCCTGGAGACTACTTGACATTTCCGCATCTAGCACCGAACAAATTCTCTAAGACTAAGAAGAAAAAAAAAAGAAAAGAAAGAAGAACTCACATGGGAGCAGAACACACTGTACCTGACCAGGCTGCAGAACTGGAGCAGGAGAACGGGTGGAGGGAGGACAGAGGAGGAGGAAAACAAAAAAAAAAAACAGATGGAAATGAGAGGCTCACTGCACAACAGGGACATTTTTGGAGAGATCCTGCTGCTTTACACCTAACGCTTCGTTCTCTGTTTATGCTGCACTTGAACATTGGGCTCAGGCACTTCATTAAAGATTTGACACTGTTTCTGTGTTTCACACTAGGGGGCGACAGACTCAAAGAAACCGGTTGAATCTCAGCACCGTCTGCAGTACCTGTGCAGCTGTCGGTCCATCCAGTCTGTTTGGTGCAGAATACTGGGCTGAAAATAGATGTTGACCTTGCATTTAAATGGATTCATTTGTACCCGTGGCTTTTTAAGATCATTCTCTGAAACTCAAGACGTGTTTGCAAATATTTAAGTTCTCACTGTCCCGCTGAGGCGCTGTTATTGTGGTGACTGATGGTGTCAGCATTCTCCTCGAATCTTGTTTGTTTGACACTTTGTCATTTCGAAACCACAACAAAAAGCTATATTTATTGTAAAAAAAAGTGCCCTATATTTTTACCCCCACACTGACAAAGACGTCTGCCTGCAGACCTGAGGGGTGTCATGTGATTCCTTCTAGGACAGCTAGATAATTATTTTTCTAATTAAATCCTCCAACCGGGTTTTCTAGGCCTTTGAGAAAAGACTTTTATCAGAGTGGATTTTTTACATTAAAAAAATTCAGAACACGAGAACGCCCCTTTGATTTGAGTGGAAGATATTTGGTGTCGTCAGGTAAACTTAGATCTGAAACAAAAGATGAAAGACGTGATCTTCAAACATGAACAGATTTGATCGTTCAGTCACTCCTCATCATCAGTTCCTCCTGATATCACGCTGTCAGTTTCTCAGGGTTGTAATAAGTATCTACAGAACTTCTTGAAGTGACTGTGGCTCAGAAATCCATGCATATATTTATGTAGTTGGGGGTCAAGGTCACAGTGTCCTTCCAGAACAGTGGCTGAAAACAATAGGTTGGTCTTACTTTATATCAATATTAAAAAACATCTGTTGATCTCATCGACATGGTGTCGTACCTCTGGTCAGGTTGGATCGTTTTTTAAACCACCTGGGCCATGACGTCACATGGTCCACAACCAGTTCTCTCACTCTATGACCCCCCTCCCCCTTATCCTTTATACATGAAACATTTATCAGGTCTTGTCTGAGAAGATGATGTCTGGTACCATGTGACAGTTTTGGCCACGTCTCTTCATG